AGATTGTAGGAAGAATGATTTGAAACACTCTAGCCCCAGGCTAAACTCAAGCTTGTTTAGCATAATGCATGGCACATTTGTTGAACGAATAAATTAATGAATGAACAAGAAAACAAACAAAGACAATAGCTGGGGAGAACAGGACCAGACTGACTTCATCTCCTGATTCAGTCTGTAGTTCTCTTTTTACATCAAGTAGGCCATAGAGAAACACAGTGACCTCTAAAGTCAACGTAAAGATTTAATTTAATCAATAGGCTTTCCTGACACCATAAACCACAAAATTACAGCTTGAACTGTTCTTGAACAACTGCCAAATATTCCCTTAAGGGTTTGTAGCTTTCTTGAGCACACAGTCAAACATTTATAGAGAAAGCTTGCCAGAAGTTGTGCTCAAAGTAAAGAATGGCTTTCTATGCTACATATAACAGATGTTAAGAATTCTTAAATTCTCTTCCTACAAACAAAAAAAAAAGGTAAGAATTATATTTCTAATCTGAGAACCATGAACTGGAAAATGCTATTGCTTTTTCATTTTTAAATGTAAGAATTGTTGCCCGGCTGGCGTGGCTCAGTGGTTGAGTGTCGACCTATGAACCAGGAGGTCATGGTTCCATTCCCAGTCAGGGCACATGCCTGGGTTGCGGGCTCGATCCCCAATGGAGGTCTGGGGAGGGGGGTGTAGGAGGTAACTGATCAATGACTCTCTCTCATCATTGATGTTTCTATCTCTCTCCCCCTCTCCCTTCCTCTCTGAAATCAATAAACAAAATTTTTTTAAGTAAGAATTATTATATGAATTGTCAGGTTTCTTTATTGAAATTTTTAACTTATTTATTGATATGAGAGAGAGAGCGAGAGAGAGACATTGAATAAGTCATTATTCCACTTATTTATGCATTCATTGGCTGATTCCTATACGTGTCCTGACCGGGGATGGAACCTACAACCTTAATGCATTGGGAGGATGCTCCAATCAACTGAACTACCCAGCCAAGACATCAGGTTTATGTTTCAGAAATCCGAGATAGAAATCAAGATACTCACTATGGCATTCAACAATCTCTTGCTACTCCCTAATATTGCTATATACTAACAATACCCCCTGCCCCATACCACTCTCTCACAATAAAACAACTAAAAATTCAGAGTTGTCACTGTTGCCCAGATTGCCACTGGAAATCAAAATTAATTTAGCAAAAATGGGCTCACAATGTTGTGTACATCTCCTGGTTTGATTGACCAAATGTCCTTATTGTCCCTCTGGATTCTTCAGGAAGTTTGGCTAGAATTTTAGTAACTCCTTTTTTTCTTTTCTATCCTTCTATGATTCCTATGCCCTTTCTCTTATTACCCAAATAAAAAAATTACTCAGAAAACTCTGAAAGAGTTGGTCAGTTTGCTTTCCTTCCTACTTTCCTCCTTTTCCTCCTTTCTTCCTTTAATATTATTTTATAACATGTATTTCATTAGACCTTAATAACTGAAAGACAAGTATGAAAATAATCCCTACCTCAGGGAGCTCACAATCTAACAGGAAAAACAGGCATAGTGTAAACCAATGGTTACAAAATGATGTGATCAGTGCTGCTATGGAGTATGTTCA